TGAATGTGTTGAAAGTGACCACCATGAAACAAATAAGAGGATCATTGGGAAGAACGTTTGCACAAGTGCGACACATTGCACTGATGTGTTGTTGATCATACAGTAACATTAAATTATTCAACCCACAGTTTATCCGGATAATTGGTCCTTCATGTTTGGTATCCAACATACGACCGTAATCAAAATGCGGCCCCGTGTCAAGTGTTGCCCTGGGCGGACCGCCTACGCGCCCCCATACTGCGCCTCTGCAAACGAAACAACTAAATGTATTCAAAGCGGATTAGTCATCACTTCGTCTACATAATGCAAACCCCCGTCATTAAGAACGACCGCGTGTTGTAAGTCCAGCAACGACACCATAGCTCAATCACCGATAGTTGTTCATCCGAACTCAAACCAAGTGCACTGAAAACCAAACCGCATACAGCGGAGCTGCATCACCAGGTTAACAACGATGTAGATGACGTTCCTGATGAAAAGCGCTTGCTTGAATATACCAGTAAAGCATGTGAAAGTTTGGTCGATAGTAATTAAGGACGCAAGGTAAACGCTCATTTTGCCGCGAACAACACTAGAACTAACTTTCGACAGATCGCTCGCCTAATGTAATATGTGTAATGTAGAGAGTACCCATGGCTTCCGTATCCGGGCGTAAGTTGGGTCGTCAACGATCCAGGGGTTGAAAGGCGAAACTGATAATTGGTAGGCGGCTGGGTGTTTTCTTATTAACCACCTACTAGGAGTCGGAGGTGGATGGAGAGTGCGCCTGATTTATATATCGTGGTTAGCTGCACGGTGTTGTCACAGCTGGCGATGGGGGACGGAGCCTGAGGTGTGTGTTTGGATGACGATAACACGCACGAGATATGATTGCGGCAGATATCCGGCTGTAACCGCAACATTTACCCACGTAGAATTGAGGGTGGAGCGGAATAGCAACTTACACTTGTAAATGGCAAATGCCATATGAAAGCACGGGCTGCTTTGCGTCAAGCGGAGCCACTCATCCCTGTGCAGACGTTACAACCCGACGAGTAAATGTGGTTCGCCGAAGCGAGTACATTTTATTTACAGCTTCAAAGCACCTTCTCACCGCAACCTTGTGGTGTGTTCGATTACAGCTCACAACTGACAAATACCCATCCAGAAATATTTTCCTAGAGCGTGATAAAGGTTAGTTGTGCTTGCCCTACATGCTCTGCGTTTTCACATGCAGCGTCCAGCCGCCTGCGTTGGTGTAACGGGTTGAGCAATCCGGCAAACGGCCACACTCACTACGCATGTCCGTCAAGTCCGAATAGTTCAATTTTCTTGTTTATTATGCTCTTATCAAAGTGCACTGACCCGTCATCATAATAAAGTAAGGACAACGCTCGCTTAGAACAGGTAGCTTACTGCCAATAGAATGTTTTACAGATCAGCCAAATGAACAAAACGTCCGTAATTCTTCCTGGCGTGTTGAACCATTTGTTGGCAGTGCTGCTGCGTCACTAAGGTCCGTGCATCAGGCACCGCGTGCTCAAAAAACAAATCCGCCACTCGCTTTTATACATAACTCCTTTAGGATCCCCCAGGAGCATCTCGGAGTACCGTCGCCTCATTACCTGTTTTATATGGGCCTTTAGTATGCTCCAAATGCAGTCGATGGTATTGAGAGCTGGAGAGTATAGCGCAAGGCGTAGAAGTCTCCCAGAGCGATACGGTTTCTCCAGGGAAACTTGCTCCAGGTGCGTGTGGCAGGGCGCATTGTCACAAATCAAAAGACACCTTTCCACAAACCCTGCTCCGTTGGTATCAAGGCCTTGTCATAGCCACTGAGCACACCTTTGCTTGTTGCAACTTCCTCTCAGAACCGAAAACGCTATCAAGCCGTTGTTTGCCATGGCGCCGACAAGATGAACATTCGGTCCCCGGCTATTTGCCACTCTACACTGCGCTCGGCTTCCACGTCGAGAGCGGCTACGAGTGCGGGAGTAAAATAAGTTGAAGTTGGTCTCATCAATCCACACCGGTTGCCTTCCTTCCGCTTCGTAATCCATGAGCTGCAAAATGCGTCGCTTTTGTTCTCCAGCGTGTTCATGGACGCCGGAATGGTGTGTAATTTCTTCATTGTCATCAGTCTATCATCCACTTCTCGTGAGACGGTGCTGGTACTTACTGAAAGTTCCATTTGCGCCTTCAACCGCAAATGAAGTAGTTCAATAGTAACGGTAGGCTCGGCAGAAACCCACTCCATCAGAGAGTTGACGTGGCTTTCTCCCAGTGCTCTGCGACGGACTACCCCGTGCTGCCCCACCGTTTCCATCGATTCGTGCGCCTGTATCCAGTTGCGGCAAGTTTTCACGTTCCAATTCTGTATGCAAGCGACCTGCTTTCAATCGTCGCCTTCCTCGTACGCTTTTAGTATGACGTTCTTCACCTCCCTCGATTGCCAACCATACCAGCCAACCATCGCGTTTAGGTGAAATGCAAATTCAAAAGCATACGGCAAACTTATTTGGCTGTGTCTCGTTATACCAACCCAATCGTCATTCAAATCCCTACTCTCATTCTAATTGGTAGAAATCGCTTCCTAGGACAGAGAAAGAAAGGCCCACATGGTGCATCATCCACCGACACTGTCCCTGGTAGGAGCTGAAGCGTCCCACCTGCGCCCCTATGACTTAGTGCGCCTGAGGTCCAATTCGCTGAAGGCGCCTGGCTGTACACGCACACCTACACACTGCACAAGTCAGTGGCGCACGTACGGCTCAAAGTAATTGAGTAAAGATTCATCTTTTGTGTCCCTCAGCTCAACTCCTTAGCCGTTCAGATTAATTCTTTTATCCACGTTGCAACTTGGCCGGTAAATATTGCAGTGAATGGATGCTACCTATAACGTAATTCTTGGTTTGTACATATCAATACTCTTACAGATGATCAGCCTGATGCTCGAACTCGTCTGGTTAGCCTCGATTATATCTTGCTCTCTCGATGATTTAAGGCGTGTGCATTGTTCTCATGAACAGATCGTAATACCTGAGTAATATGAAAGGAATGCAGGCAGATGCATTTGATTTGCTGGTTGCCATATGTGAGATCCAAATCAAAACGATTTGAAACTCAACTGGTAACTCTTAAATAGACATGTTGCTCACTGTCGTCGGTGGATCTTATTGAATCTGTCAATACTTTCTTGCCATCTAATTCCTCTTTTACTGCCACGGTCTTTGTCGCGAATATTTTGTACCCGTTGGATCACTACATTCTGATTCATTAATAAATTTCGCTGGCGTGAATTGCTGGATCATTTGGAGAGCCCAAACGATGCATTCAAATGATGCGCACGTTATCGCACTTGTGTACACAGTAACCTATATTAATTGCCACTGATCTTTCGACCTATTTTCCGAAGGCGGTTAAGATACGGCACATGTAATATAATGTACCATCGGCAAATATCGCATAGCGCAGCCAATTTAAATTATCTGCCGACTAAGTATTCATTGGTCGCGGAAAAAACGCTGAGATCGCCGTAGCACCGGTTGCATTAGGCTCAACCTAACTGTTCTAACACTTTTACCACAGGACTCTGACAAGTGTATGGAAGTAGTGATTGAAAGTTTGCCCGAATTTCACAAATACGTCCTCAGAATTTCCAAGCTAGTTGCAGCGGCGGTTTTCATTATGATTACCACCCACCGTTTTGTTTTACTAGGGTCCATCGTGGTCCACCAGAGAATAATTCCCGCGTTAGGACATACCGCGAGTTGAAATACGACCAAGAAAATTGAGCGGAGCCAATTAGTATGGGCAGCAATCATTTCTGTTAGCTAAGTCAATGATACGCACTATCTCGCAAGTGATTTCGATCGACCATTTGCCATTACTCCAGAGTTTAATGTGTCGCTTGTACAACGATCGCAAGCACGTGCAAATGTAACCGTGTTGCACTGCCACCCTCAAACGTAAGGACAAACACTTTAAAGGTACTTAAAACACGAGAACATCACGTATACGTATTGTGACCAGCCGTTTTGACAACTGACGTTGCTTGAGCAGTCCACGGCATCACCTGACTGCCCAGCACCGCTAACGCCGCAGGCGAGGCTGGGTTGTAAAACTAGGGAGCAGCTGCTCACATATGGGCCCTGTTTTCACACCACAACAGCGGACGCGAATACGGGATTTTATCAATCCTTGTTTACGGTGTCGTTAGAAAGCGCTTAACATAAGAACATTCGCATAAGCTTTCTTCTTCGTAACAACGTAAATGCACCACCGTTTTGATGGTCGACATACCAGCTAAACGGACAACTTCACACTAGGGCAGTTTTGTAGTTTACAACAGCCTGACTTCCTGGGCCACGGTGCCGCCCTTCATGTCCGAACTCAACAGTCATCTTTCCCAGTTATGGTAGACGCGCGGGAAAGCTTGTTCGAGCGCACCAGGCGTTGTCATAGCTGAGGGGCATTGGCCACCCAAGAGGTGTACGCGACTTCTTGCATGCATCGGCTGTCACACCTGTGTCTGGACGCTGCTTGAATGCGTCAACCTCTAGTTTAACAGTATAACGGGAAAGTTTGACTAAGTTATGGATGAACTTGGCTGAAGTATACGGCTGCTGGTTTGCACTGTGGAAATGTAGTATACTGTGAGTAAGCGGAAATTAGCCCACTTGATCACCCGATAAGCTTCCTTATTCTGCCCTTCTAGAATCAACACCTGGAAGCGGTCGTAGATTAACTGAAGCGAAACAGGTAAGGGAGGTTGCGCCAAACCACGTTTTTTACAAATCATCTAGCTCCAACTGCATGATTGCGAAACTACATGGTGGATGTGTCACGGAGTTTGTTACAGGTTTGTGTTCCAAGGAATATGAAGAGTTGTTGACGGATTACTTTTAGATTGATGTTTTCCGCCTTTAACCATTGTAATTCGTGCAAGCATTCACATTGAAGAACCTGCCCTCGCAAAGGTCAGCTAAATCCTAAAATGACCCTTTGTTCCCATGTTGCAGGGACTTTCTTGATTCCCTACTTTATCTCCATCATCGCGGCTGGTATTCCGCTGTTTACTCTTGAAGTTACTTTGGGACAACTGACTGCTCAAGGGGGGATCATCGCGTGGGATATTTGCCCGTTGTTTCGTGGTGAGTTGAGCATTTTTACTGTTAACTACCATGTTCTAAAATAGACGAACCTCAACTGCGTCACCTGGTAGCTCATTCTGGACGTTTGCATAGGTAGTTAATTGTGGCCAAGTTTGATTAAGCAGTAAATTCAGATGTTCGCAAAATAATGAAGAAGTGTTATTGTCGTTCATTTAGCAGGGAGCACCAATTGTATGGGGAAGATTGGGACGGTCAGTCTCATAGTGCTATTACATGTAGACTAATTTCCCTGTCGGTTCAGCCACTGGAGCCATAAATGAGTTGGATAAATGCTAAACTTTACTTTCCCCGACTTTAATGCATAACGTGGGGTTAAGCGCTGGTTTGCACTTGAAGATTATTGACAAACGCGGACCTGAACGTCGCGGGTAGAGTTTAGAGAGGGTAACACGCAAGTGTTGTCTAAAGTTGCACATATTTTGATGGAAAGTATACGACAGAAAGATACGGTTTACCACATGGTTTACCGTGCAATCTTTCTTAAACGGAATGGCGCCTGGTTCGTTGGACCCGTTAACCAGGCTGTGCAAAAATCAGTTAATCGATTCTATATAAGATAAGCCAAAGAATGAAGGACAGGAGTTGTTTTCAGAATGCGTATCGTGACTCACGCCGGCAAAGTCACCTATTACTGCAGTTATTAAGGTGTCCATAAGTCATCAAACAGTCCGACGTATTGACATTAATTTCTGGATACAGGGAGCACAGTTGGTGGAGCACGGTTTTCAAATGCCTCCACCATGAAGACGGGTGCGCGGTGACCACAGAATGATGCGGGTATAACATGAAGACGTATGCATTTTTAACTCGGAAATTCTACGCACGGAAGCGCGGGAACGCAAGTTTGCGAAGAGTACTCTTTTATACAAATCTCTGGGTATTTATGATTATAAAATGGAATCTTAAAGCCTAGACAGATGAGAAAGCAAAAAAAGCTTAGTGGAATCACGATAGGTAGAAACAAGCGGCTTGATTGATAAAGTTGTCTATCTCAGGTGAGAGATCAGGTGATGGTTGGTCGGTGAAATGCCAAACGCCTTACCCATCACAGTCTGCACATGAAGAGAGGTGTTGGCAGACTAATTATGGCAACAAACCCTTTTGGTTGTGTAGTTCTCGCTTTTCTCCTAATTACAATCGCTGCATCCACCCTTAAGATTTGTTTCCCAGTTTTTCGGGTACCGTTTAGGCACGACATATTGTGCTTTAAAACTATCAGTGGTCCTAATTTGGTGTCTGCTATCGACCAGATGTTCCGGGATGGAAATTTTAGCGCGGTTGACGATGCTTTCCGGCAAATCTGCTGGGGTACTTGGCTATGTGTTTAGACAGACTCCTGGTTGTGTGCCCGCGTACCTCGTACCCCAGGTGCAGGTTAGCTGATATAGAAAGTAGGATTGGGACCGAACCGGAATTATGTCTTTGAGACGTTGGGTAGTAAAAGGAGTGATTTCTGCAAGGACCAGTGGGTAGACGGCCGGGAAGTTTCGAGCCAGTGCAGGGGAACTTTTTCTGCTCATCAGATCAAAGCAAATATCGCCTTTGAAGGGGATTTATAGGAACACAGCCTTCTTGAGAACGGTTGTAATTACTTTGCGGTTAACACGGATTATCACTGCATAATTTTTGTTGAACGGGCTGGATAATCTTTTCAACGTAGCGTTTTAAGCATACGGATCTTTTGGGCCTCCTGCGTCTATTGTCTGCTAAGTTTCGCAGCATAAAATTACAAGCAGCGAATAAGATTATGTTTGTACTTTAAGGGTTTGAAGCTTAGAAAATGCGTATTTTGTCCAATCCATGTGCAGTTCCGGAATACACCTCTTCCTAGTAAACCGTCATTTTCCCGGCCACACAACACGCCCACGAATGTTAGCTTACCATCATTTTCGCTTTTGATGGAAAGGTTCAACAATAAGAAACAACTTTTCAATCGGCTTAACAGGTTTGAAGTATCTATGTTTGAATTGCAGGTCACAAACATATCACCCATATGGCGACGACATAAATCAAACGAAACTACGATGGATCGTATAGATTTAGGCTAAATCATGACAAGGAAAATGTCAGCAAGGAGTGGGCCAAGGGGGGCCGTGGCGGCACTGTCGACCTATCTATTGAATACTCCACCAAATAAAACTCTGTTGGACGTGCACTGTCAGATTAGTTCATTCATGTTATTCACCGGAATACGCATGCCCATGAATTTTAGTTTAAGTAATCACATCTAAAAATGAGTTTCCATCAATAGAACATTTGTAAAATCTGACTCAACATCTAGATGGAGAGCCTCTGTTTGTCTTTTACTTTCATGTATTCACAAATTCATATATCTCCCAGTGTATTTGTCTACCTCTAAGCCAACGAAACTTAGCTACTGATATATGTTGTTCTAATGAAGTGGTCCGTTTTACACCTTCGATTGCTCCTCCACATACATCACTGTTGTGGATTGGCTGCTGCCATACGACAGAAAGAATACTCAGCAGGATGTTTTGATCAAGCGCTTGAAGGTACCTCTGATACGAAGACAGCATAAGCCAAATGTTACTACATAATGGGGTCTCAATAAGGCGGCTCTGGGTCTCACAAGCAGTGAGCTCGCATCGGCATCCGCACACTCATAGCAACTGTTGCAACTGCCTAGGTAAGCGAATTGATCAAATTCCTCTAGTTCAGCATTGTCAAAGTTTAAGAGGTCCCAAGTGGACCGTGGTCCCGCATTAACTTTGTATTTTGTTGCTGTGAATTGAATTTCAAATGATGGGACCAATGGGAAGATTTTTTCTTAGTTTGACTGGGTTAAACAAAGATCGACAAATAGCAAAACGATCTCATTCATACATAATAGATCGACCAATTTGCTAGCAGGCAGCACCTTAACGCCCGCATCATGGAATTCCATATGGGAACACTACAGGATGGAGTCCGCTAAAGTTGAAGAAAAATGAGGAAATTGGCTACGCGTTGTAAGAACACAACAGGCAAAATGACACGGCTGTAATGTGTATACACGCTTGGGTACTATCTTTTTCCTTAACACACGAGTCGCGGGCATCGCTGGCCGACAGTGAAACGTACTAACATTTCTCAACAGTCCTCCACCGCCAGATTAAGTGAATCCTGTTTGAGAACGTCTTAAGCATCGCTTATGTCTGTATAATAGGTGTCGAAGCATGGTTGCTTTTAGTGACGTTTTCGGTGATACATTTAGGGTTTCAGGTGATGGGCAATCCACTCGTTCTTTTTCTGGGCTCACAGCCTGTCGTCGTACTTGATCCTAACGACATCGAACTGGTCGCCCGTTATCCAGCTTTTCTCTACTGTACTACCAAATTCCAGACTGTTGGTTGACCATACCCTGTTTGCTTGTTAGGACGGCTATGTTGGTCAGGCCACTGGGCGAAGGGAGGTGTGATGCCGACCGAATGCATTAATACTATTTTAGGGCAAAAATTACTCGAGCCAGTATCTGCGACAACTTCACATATATATCAGAGGTAAACAAGCCCTCCTTTTAGATGTACACAGTGGTCAACCCAGGCATGAATTTAGTTACGGGAGCTTCGATCCATTTGGGATGTGCGTCCACTACAACACGTACCGTGGGGCTGTCAATGGGTCCACAGAAGTCGATGCATATTCTGTCCCACGGGAGAAAGCGTCACTGACATGAAGACACTGGCACAGACGGTGGATAAGCTATATTCGTTTGACTCCTAAGATACATATCACATATAGTTGAATGTTGTTGCTGTCGACTGTGAATTTCCTTGGCGACCCATGTGCAGTTCCTGCAGGGTTGTTTGACGATGCCGTTTGTGAGCAACAACACAAGTGCCCCAAAGTAAAAATGCCTCAGTTCAGATTTTCTACCGTGTAACCTTCTTTAGACCCTCGTCTAATCTATGTGGCCAAACAGTTAGAATAAAATCCCACACAGTTCAAGGTCACCCTTTGTTTCCGACCTTAGCTTCGTTGCTATCACTGAATGCGAATCATCCAACGAAGACAACACTTACATCAGTTCTCTCAAAGCTACCATGTGGCTAAGACATTCCCACAAAGGAAGCTGATTGAGAGGGTTGCCACACTGATTCTTCTTGTCGGGGAGATATTTCCATTGATACTGATACCCAGCTAGTAGTAGGGCGCAGCGAAGTAAAACGGCGATGGCATTTGTGTTATAGATCTTGCTCCGCTTATAATTCGGAGTTGTGGCTTGTGGTTGGTGTGTATCGCGATCTTTTACTTGAATATGCGTTGGCGAAAACGAACAACCCTAAAGACGACAGCCAAAACTTTCTTATTAATTTGGATGCAATTTCGCTTGAACTATTATAAGGTCCGACCACCGAATGTAACCGGTTTGTTTACTCCTCTCGCTTCAAGCTGTAACAAGGAGTCTCTGATTCCATAGCGTGATGCGTCATGTCGACTTTTTTTAGTACAGTGATTTAGGGTGGGCAACACCCAGTACTTGCCTGCTTCAACTTCATGTACTATCCGGGGTCAAAGTAGGCCAGAGCCTCTGGACTGACCAATGCAATTTAGTCCAGCGATAAATCAATTCCTACGTCTCAGACCACAGCCACTGTGCACTGTTGCATAACAAACAACGTACAGAGTGCGCACTACGAGTGAATGTGGGCTAAACTTCAAGTAGTGCCTGTGCATACCCCGAAACGATCTTAATTCTTGTTGTTTCCTTAGATGTGTGGTCGCAAGAAAGGGCTATGTCTTTCCTCAGTCGATTTCATTCCCTCTGCGCTAATGTGTAAACTCATGTGATCGACTTTGGGTACCCAGGATACACATTTCTCATCTTTCCGCCTCAAACCATTCCCCTTCAAGCGGTCTAAGACATATCGCAATTTGTAGATGTTCGTCACTTGTTACTCCCGTAGACAGGATGGTTATTGGCATCTGGTTCCGAGGTGGTTGTCACTGCTCTGTCCAGGGGGAAATGCCCAGAACAC